AGAGGTACCAGAGGGTTAGGACAGGTGACACAGCACCTAGGACATCCCTACTCAGGCTACCACGGGAAAGCATCATCATGAAAGGGATAGCTGATAGTGTGACCTAATACTTCCATCTGCTTTGGCTCAGATGTCACCTCATCTAAGGAGTTTGCTCCTCCTCTGTGTCCAATAACAGCACCTCTGCTTCCCACCACTCCTCCTCCTGAAATTTACTGAGTACCTGCTACCAGCCAAGAAACCCTTCTCTGAAATTTCATTGAACTGGGTACCCTGTTCAGGTGGTGTTACATAAGTGGCAAGTTGGATTTTGTGATTGAATCTGCTGTCCTAACAGCAATGGCAGAGAAAACATACAATTCCCAGCTGCAGGCAGCCAACAGAGTGATGGATGAGGCTGGGAATGTAGCTGTTGGGACAGCAATTGCCTAGCACGCAGGAAACCTTGTGTTTGACTGCCAGCACTGCTTAATGGTAGCACACTCTGTAATCCCAGCACTTGGGAGGCAGAGTCAGGGAGATCAAGAGTTCAAGGTTGAGGCAGAAGAGATGGCTCAGCAGTTTAGAGCACCAACTGCTCTTCCAAAAGACCTGGGTCCAATCCCCAGTACTGACATGGCAGCTCACCATCACATGTAACTCTGGTTCCAGGGGATCTAACGAGTTCCCTTCTGCCTTTCTCCGTCACCAGACACATACATACAGTCATAACATCCACATACATAAAATAAATAAAACAAAGAAACAAAGAATTAAAGTTCATCCTCGGTTTCATAATAGATTTGGGGGCAACCTGGGCTATGTGAAACCCTGCTTTAGAAAAAGGCAGATTCACAGGAAGTAGGAGAAATGGCAAGTATGGCAGAGTCCCTCAGCAGGGTTTCCAGGTCACCCATGTGGAATGGGAGAAGGTGGTCACCATCTAAGCTGGGATCTGAGTCATTAAGAGGAGGAAAAAGGGTTTCTGACAGAGGGTGCAGCATAAAATCCAGAATTCAGGAAGAGGTCAGGGAATGTAGCTTAATGGTAGAGCCCCTTGTCTAGCATGTATGAGGTCCTGAGTTCAAACCCTAGTGCCCAAACTGAGACAAAACAAAAAGGGCCATGTCACTGATCTGTTGTATGAAGACAGGACTAAATATGAAAGGTAAGACTTCTGTGTACTTCAGTGCTAGAATTTACCATTCTCTTGCCTCAGCTTCCTTGGGTCTGGGATTAAAGGCACACACAGCACAGGTAGCTTCCCTGCCCGGCTCTTAACTCACCCAGCCAGATGTTCACCTCACAAAAACAGGGGTGTGCTATGTTACTGGAGTGAAGGAGAGAGAGAGAGAGAGAGAGAGAGAGAGAGAGAGAGAGAGAGAGAGAGAGAGAGAATAGAGGCAGATGTTTGAAGAGGGCCAAAATGATAAGAAAAAGCATCACAGCTGGAGTTGATGAAACCCCTGTGGGCATGAGGAGAGGGGGGAAGCTGGAAGCCACTGGCCCAGCCTGTGCTGGGAGTAGATGGGATGCAAAAAGAAAGGAGAATGTCTTTTCTGAAGAAAACACTTGTAGAGGGGAGGCCCTAGGGCAGACAAGAGGCAGGGAGGACCAGAGTCAAGGAAAACTAGTCAAGGAATCCTAGTATGTTCAGAGATGAAGCCCAGGGTATAGGAGCAAGGAAGCTAAAATTAGATTCTCCCTGGGAAGTTGGGGGACTTTTACCTGATAGCTATAAGATGACTTTCCTTCCATATTATACCTCCAGGAGGAGGTGGTCCTGTCACACACACACACACACACACACACACACCCTTCCCTCCAGTCCCTGGCACCCGAAGACAACACTAAGCAGGAGAGTGAATGAGTGCCTGAGGGCTATACAGGTTTGGAGGAGAGGCTGCAATTGAGGAAAGGGGAGGAGTAAAAGGGGAACGACTTAAGGCATTCTGCTCACCCTCAAGTCCCAGCACCTGAGAGGAAGAGAAAGGAACATCAGAAGTTCAAAGCCAGTCTGGGGTCTGTAGCAAATTTGAGGCCAGTTTGGACTACATGAGACCCTGTGTCAAGAAAAAGAGAGAGAGAGAGATTGTGATTATCCAGGGGGAGGTGGAAGAGCTGGCAGAGACACTGCAGACATGGAGGAGACAGGGGATTAATGTCCCTGTCCATGAAGTCAGATAGAGAGTGGAGAAGCATTTCTTTACCCCAGGGGAATGATTAAGGAGGTGTTCATTGAAAGCATCCTCAAAATGGGAGGATGTTTGCCAGAAAGAGGAAGGGACCTTTCCTTGCCAGGCCCTGCAGCTCTCTCATTTAATTCTCAGGACCGCCCCTGGAATGGTTTCTTTCACAAATAAGGAAATTGAGTCTTACAAATGTTAAGTTACTGCCAGGCACCAGTGGTGCACAACTTAAATCCCAGCACTTGGGAGACAGAGGAAGAAGGTAGCTCTCTGAGTTGGAGGCCAGGCTGATCTACAGAGTGAGTAGGAAAGCCAGGGCTACACAGAGAAACCCTGTCTCAAAATAACAACAACAAAAACACAAATAAAAAAAGAATTCCCAATCCTCCCTTCCCTGTCCACCCCAAGAGATGGATCTGGATGCTTCCCTGTACCCTACATCCACTCCACTCTGCCAGTGAACCCTCTGTGCCTGCCTGAAGTGCACATTGCCTCCTGAGCTGCTCCCTCCCTGTGGTGGGGTACAGACTCACTCCTTGCCTTGCACAGACTCTTTTCCCTCCTTGTCAATTCAACAGCCCATGGGGCTCTAAACACCTAAATCAGCTAGGAGACCCTTCCTCCGAAGACTTCCCAACAGTATTCTAAGTCCTCAAGTCTTTGCACTTAGTACCTGCCTGAGTCCTATCTGCCCTGGTCATACTTTTTTTTTTTTTTTTTTTTTTTTTTTTTGGGTTTATTATGGTATACACTGTTTTGTCTGTATGTACTCCTGCAGGCCAGAAGAGGGCACCACAGCTCTCATTACAGATGGTTGTAAATCACCATGCAGTTGCTGCTGGGAATTGAACTCAAGATCTCTGGAAGAGGAACCAGTGTTCTTAACCTCTGAGCCATCTCTCCAGCCCGGCCATACTATACTTAACTAGGAATGCCAACTAATAGTGTTTCCATTCGAAGGAGCTTGGACTCTTTGAGACATACCTGCCTACCCAATGCCCTGCTCACAAGTAGCCTCATGACTTGCTCTTTTTTGTTTTGAGACAGGATTTCTCCTGTAGCCCTAGCTGTCGTGGAACTGGATTTGTAGACCAGGCTGGCCTTGAACTCACAGAGATCTGCCTGCTTCTGCCTCCCAAGTGCTGGAATTAAAGACATGAGTCACTGTGCCCAGCTATGACTTGCTCTCTTAATCCCTAAAGATTTTAGGTCAACTATCACATCATGTTTCCCTCCTCAAGCATCCTAGTTATAACTAAAAACTCTGCCCTTTCCTGGCATGGCTTATCTCCCTTCATGGAATCTAGGTCACATAATGTTCTGTGTATATCATTTGTTTAATTGGTTTATTATCTCCTTTCTAGAAAACATCAACAGTGCCTTTCCTGTTTGGTATTATTTTCTTCCTTCTCTTTCTTTTTAAATTTTTAAAAATGTTATTTTTCGGGTCAGTTGATGATGGCAACATGCCTTTAATCCTAGCACCTGGGAGGCAAAGGTAGGCAGATCTCTACAAATCGAATTCTGGGACAGCCAGGACTATTAAAAGTAGAAATCCTGTCTCGGAATTTTTTTTAATGTTTCTCTAATTTATCTGTATGCACCATGTGCACGCAGTGTCCATGAAGACCAGAAGAGGGTGTCAAATCCTGTAACTGGTATTACAGACACCTGTGAGCCAACATGTTGGGTGCTGGGAAGTGAAGCCCAGTCTTCTGGAAGATCATCCAGTGGTCTTAACCTATGAGCCATCTCTTACCTTCTCATCTCCGTTTTCTTTTCTGGAGACAGAGCTTTTCTAAGTATCTCTGGCTGGCCTGAAACTTATTAGATAGACCAGTATGACCTCAAGCTTCCAGGGATCACCTTCCTCTGTTTCCATAGTGCATAGTCACAGGTGTGAGCTATTGCACCTGGCTTGGCATTGTTTTCTTTGCTGCTTAGAACAGAGCCTACAGTGCAGGAGGCACTCACTGAATATTGCCAGGCTACACTTCTCTGAGCAATAAACGTAAGATAATGATTAAAATCTGAAAAATCCATGAAGTTTAAGTCTGGAATGCTGGCTGATTCTCTGATTTTTTTGTGTACCAGGGAAGATTCTGGAGTGCGTGGTGGGGGCGTGTAGCTCAGTGACAGAACTCTAGCCCTGGATTTGACCCTCAGTAGAGGGCAGTAGCAAGGGAAGGGGAACACCCCAAACCAAGCAAAACAAAAATCACAAGAAAGCCAAATCTCTGATTCGCACCACCCTACCACAGACTCCAGGGTTCTCAGGGGTTTGCAAACTGTCCTATATCCTCAGGTGATTCCCATGCAAGATTATGCGAAGGTGTTTGCACAGACTAAAATAAATACGATCCAGGACACCTGAGGTCTTATTTTAAACAACTCTTACACAGTAGTTGCACACTCATTTTCCTTCAATGCAGTGAAGTTTAGGACTGCAGTAACTTTTCTGTCTTCTGGGTTCAGCACAGTGTAGGTGCACGTTAATGTTATGTGAATGAATGTTAAGCAGGATGAATGAATATAGCGGTACTGGTTAGAAAAGACACGCAATGCCGAGGGTCATCTTCTAGAAGGCCTGAACATTTCCAGAGACTCAGCTGTGCCAGCGAGCCCGCTAAAACGGCCCGCGCCACCGCTCATGGAGCCTCTAAGAGGCGCGCAGCTCCAAGCCTGCCTGCGTTCTCCTGCTCCGCGTGGTCGTTTCCATAGCTACAGGCGCGCACGGGTGAAGGGAGGGGCCTGCGCGTGCGCGTCACTCTTAACGCGACGCTCCGCCGCGCCTCCCGCCTTTCTGGGTCTCAGGCTCTCCGCGCGCACGGCGACCGCTCCACCTGCGCGCCTTCGCGCTCGCCGCCCAGCTCTGTCCGGTTCTGCGCCGGCGCGGGGCCCGCTAGGACGCGCGAGGGACTCGTGAAGCGCATGCGCAGTGTGCGGCCCGCCGCTTTACTGTCGTTCGGCCACCGCCGTTGCCGCCTCCCTACCGGCAAGTGCCGAGGGTCGCCGCCGCCGCCGCCGCCGCCGCAACCATGGGGGTAAGTGGGGCTGGAGAAGTAGTGGGAAGTACATAACGGCCCTTCATCCTTCGCGTTCTCATTGTTTCTTGAATTCCCTCACGTGACCCTGACCCCTTCCAGCCTCACGTGACCCCGGCCCCTACTGGACCCAGAGTCCCCTGTTGTAAGGACCCCCAGGTTGAACCTAGCCCAGGAATCCTTTTGGGGTCCCCTTCTACCTTTCCCCTCCGCTCTCCGCGCCCCTCGTGCCCCTTCCTGTCTTTCTGACCTCCTGGTGGGCCTCCCCACTCCCGAGCCCTGTTGCGTCCCTGAGGTCAGCCCCTTGCTCCTTGAGGTCACCCATCATCTGGCTGTCACGGTCCCAGCGGTTTCCTGCAACTTGGACTTGAAGGAAACTGAGGCCGGGAGGCAAGAAGGCGCATAGCCAAGGTCACACTGACAATGGCTTGGGCGCTGGACCCCATCCCGCGTCTCTGGAGTCCCAGTGGACTCTGCTTTCCGCTGCTCTAACCTCAGTCCAGGCGGTTCCGCTACACGTTTGAACCGTCGTTACCAGCTTCCTCTTGCTCCTGATAAAAGTCTTCCTTCCCACTGAGGCCTGCCCGTTCAGCTCGTGGCTGCAGTGAAGTGGGTCTTAGGAGGTTGGATTGTTCTTAGTCATGTCATTGCAGGTGGCTGCAACGGGGGAGGGGGTGGAGGTGTACAGATGGGCAGCGAGAATGGAGCCACAAGTGATGGCCCCAGCCAGGATGCATAGTAACCACCTGTTAAGCGCTGACAGTCAGAAGATGCATTTCCATTTCCTTTTCTGGAATGTGCAGATCTAGGGTTGGGCAAAAGCAGTCTCTTGTTTGTGAGTTCAGCCTACTAAAAATGAAACTGGCCTTTCTTGATCCTGGCTTATTAGGGGTCGTGGAATTTGCAACACCTTTAGGGAGTCCTGACTTTGGAACCAAATGATTCTGTAGCAGCTCCATCTTCTATGGCTAGAGGCTTGACATTGCCAGTGATGAGGCCTCTCTTGATTTTATTCTCCCCATCAGTGATGCACATGACCTTCCTCCTAGGATAGTGGTGAAGATTGAACAAGATAATGGATGTAAATAGCCCACTAGGTACCTTATAAACAGTGGCTATTCTGCTTGTATTCTGAAACTCACCTTAGCAATCTAAAATAGATTGGGCTTGTCCTTACTGTCACTAACCCAATCATCTTATCAGATGAAAATAATCTAGCTTGTGTCAAAACCAACCTTGGGGGTCTGGGATTATATAGTCTTGTAGTAGATCTGTAGTAGAGTGTGTGCTTAGCATGTATAAGGCCTTGAGTTCAACCTCCAGCATCCAAAACAAAAACAAAAAACCCAAACCTCCCAAAGCATTTGTCATAGTTCAGGCAGTAATTTTTACTGCTATTTACCTAATATGAAGAAAATGAAGCTTAGAGACCCTGGCATATTTAACTTAGATTTTAGTTTGTGATCCTAGGTCCCAGCTGTTGTTGAAACTAAATAAAACCAAGTTTCTAGTATTACTCAGTAACTGCTCAGAATCAGCATGGGCAGCATCCACTTCCTGGTTGTTGGCACGGAAGTTGTAGAACCCAGATGTGCTGCAGACTTTGCTTCCTTTGGAGGTGTTCTTCACACAGTCCCCTTCAGGGTCTCCTGGCCTAAAAGAGCAGCAGAGACTTGAATTACTTAACCTTCACTGGCTTAGATGTGGAGTTCTGCCATTACTCTCATCAGGCCCCACCTGCATGGCTGGAAGTTGATATTTCATATAGCCCCTCCCTCATTCTCACAGGAGGTGGTACCCTGCTTCTTTACTCAGGCCAAGTGAGAGTGGCAACAGGTGAAACACTTTTCTAGGGTTCTTCCCTCATCCCACCCCCTCTGAGATAAGGTTTCTGTGTGTAGCTCTGGCTGTCCTGGAACTCGCTCTGTAGACCATCTTGACCTCAAACTCAGAGATCGGCCTGCTTCTGCCTGTGCCTCCCAAGTGCTGGGATTAAAGGTGTGTGCCACCACTAACCGGCTTTTCCAAGGTTCTTGTGCACCAGTTGCTTGAGTGCGAGTAAACATTAGCTCTCTTTGCCATTGCCAAAGCCAACAGAAGCATTGACACTGAAACCTAAGTAATATCAAATCTTTTTGTGCTGTTTGTTTGTTTTCTCTTTTCTTTCTTATTTTTCTTTGTGATTCCTGGGCCTCTTAGAACTGTGTAGAGTTACTGCTTTAATAAGAATAGTAAAGGGGATCAGATCTGCAACCACAGAGTGAAAGCAGTACTTCTGTACTATTAACATGAGCTTCACGTGATGTCGTGGGGAAGACTTCTCAGAATGCTGCTGGTTCTATGACTTGAGTTAGTAGCTTCTCTAAGCCTCAGGTTTCTTGTCACAGCTGAGCTATCAAACACATCCTCTTTAGAAAATCAATGGCAGAAGGCTAGGGATACTTAGCTTTCTGTAGATGCCTGCCTAGCATGCATAAAGCACTAGGTTGGATCCCTGGCACCATATCAGAAGGCTGTAATTCTAGCACTCAGGAAGTAGAGGCAGGAGGAGCAGAAGTTCAGGGCCATCCTTAGCTACATAGCAAGTTAAGGACCAACCTGGGCTGTCCCTAGTCCCACCCCACCCCTGAAAAAATGCACCAGTAGATTGTCCATCACCAGTGGGTTCCGATAAACAGACCAGTTCTAAATACAGTTCCTTGCCATTAATGAGGTTGGATCCCAGCACAGGTACAACCAAAAAGTTTATATCTGTATAGCAGCTCCATTCCATGGTTGAGGAAACTGAGGTTTTGACACATTGAATAACTTGCCAAAAGGGTTTTAAGTAACATGCCTAAAGTCACAGCTATTAAGTGAAAAGAGCTGAGAATCAAATCCAGATCTCTCGACTTAAAATCCACACTCTTTTTATTATATAAAGCTCCCTTGGGAAAGACACTTAACCACAATGAGCTTTACTGTTCACTGTGCTTATTTCCCATTTTAATTAGGCAAGTTTTTCCCTGGTCCCTGCAGGACAGCCTTACCTCCACAAGGCTGCAATGAAGCTAATTGGAACAGTGGGAGACCACTCTAACTGGTGCTTGCTGGGGTTGAGGGAGCGCCCCTGCCTGTGTGGCCCAGCCTGCATCCACTCCTCACTCTGTGCTGGAAGCCAAGTGCTTAGGGAGTGTTTTCATTATCTTGGTCTCCGTGGTGGCAACCTTGGGCCTTAGTTTGAGGGTTGCCTGGCTCACCAGTCAGCCTGCATAACTAGTCTTAGGAGCTATGTCCCTGTGTTCAGAAATGAGGTGCTGTGGGGGAAACCCAGATTTCATGTTTTTGGGGGCCTGGGAGTCACACTTGCCTTCCATCACCTTTACTCCTGACCCATACTGTTATGTGACAGTCCAACAATCTGTTGGCTTGGCACTGTGGAGAGAAGGACCTTATATCTCCTGTGAAGGTGAAGATACGTTGCATCCCGGTCTCCCTGAAGATGTTCAAATAGTCATTTGGGGGTAGTGGGTGGGGCATAGCCTGCTCTGGTTGATGGAAAGCTCACATTCCTGATACTCTATCGTGAAACTTCGGGACTTTGTCTTGTTTTCCTTGTCCCTGCTTCTGCCTTAGCATGGAGGTAGGGTATAGTGTGGCACTGTTGGAAATTGATTCCCAGGTAGATAGGCATCAAGAAATGAGTTGCTGAGTGGTTGCCTGAGAGCACTTGAGGCCTGCGGCTTTGTCTCTGCAGGGTATGAGAAGGTCTTTGTTTGGTGATTGAGTTGAAGTTTAGGTGCACTTCTGCCCCTGGGAGAGGTGGCCTACTGCACAGACACTGCATCTGTGGCCTGGCTACTTACTGCCTGGGGAACTCTGTATGTCTCATTCCCTTGAGCCTCAGTTTCTTAATGTGTAAAGGTAAGTGATGGCTTCCACTTTGAGCCTTGAATCATGTATTCTGTGAAAGTGTTTTGTTAACCAATTTCAGTGTTGTCCTGAAGCCCAGATTCCCGGAAGAAAAATGAATACTGGGAAACCTGTCTAGGGGAGGGGCCACTTGTATATCCTTTTGCATCTCTGTGAAGGCAGCCTCTGGTTGGGGGTGTGGCTAAGTGTTAGATCACTGGCCTGGCATGCAGAAGGCCCTGAGTTCCATCCCCATTACCACAAAGACAAATTCCTGCTCTACTCTGTATGTGCCTTTGTTGGGGGAGGTGAGACATGAGAGCTAGTCTGGCTCCTGGCAAAGTGCTGGTAAGTAGTAGATGCTGCTGGCATTTTGTGTGTTAGATAAATCTTGAGTTCTGTGTCTTTTTCTTTTACCTCTTGGTTGCTGAAGCAGGAGTCAAGCAGTGATGTTCCTTAGAACATCCAAGTTGAAATTATGCTTTGGAACTTACCCAGCTGTTTGACAGCTGGTTTTCAAATCATGTGAATGTGGATTATTCTGTCCTTGTCCTAGGGCCAGGCAGTGCCACCGTCACATTGGCGTTGGTGTTACTTGACCTCTTTCCAGTGAGCTGTAGGAGAGGTGGGGCTGGAGTCAGGAGATATAGGCTGCCTGATCCTCCCTGGAGGGTGAACAGGAGCTGTCATTGAGCACCTTTCTGTAGCCTAGTCATGACAGCACCAGGCAGGTATTGAAGCCTTACTCTGAGACCAGGGCATGAGGCTTGTTTGTTCTCAGATCTGGCAGGAAAAGAGGAACAAGCATCTTTGATGAGAAAAGTTGGGGCCATGGCTCACACCTTTAATCCTAGACTTGGGAGGCTGAGGCAGGACAATTATTGTTCTGTTGGAGACCTCTCTGAGCGACAGTATGAGATGCGAGTCGCGCGCACACACACACACACACACAATGAAGGGGGATTTTGAGAGGGCCCCACATTAGCCTTCAGATAGTATCTGGTCAAGATGCAGGTAGGAAAACCTTGCCTTTGCCTGTCCTTGCTGCCTGTCATTCCCCTGCAGCTTGGTTTTGGTGACCTTGTGGCATGTCTGCCCTGAGGTGAACTGATGAGGCTCACCTTTCACTAACAGTGCATGGTGTGCCTGCCACTCATTGGCATTCGATGGGCAGAGCTTCTGGGAGTGGCTGTGTGTGTTCTGTGTCTTGAAGCCATTGTGCCCTGGCTTTGACGTGCATATGATCCTGAATCCACAGTGGTGTGGGGTGACTTCACATCCTGGGAAGCTCCCCTAGATGTCCCTAACAGTGGGTGCTCCCCTTAGGAATGTGCTTAGGCTGCAGGGCCGTCTGCACTAGCCAGCATCACACAGCAAATGAGTGCTCTTCCTGGAAGTGATCCCTGCCTCTCCTCCTTGACCTCAGGACCATGAGGGAACAGTATTCCCTGCTGGGTCACACACCAAGGTTTCCTGTTGCAGGGCCAGGTCAATGGGTGCTAGGCCCCTCGGGTTCCTCTGAGGGAGTAGCCAGAGCCCTTCTAATGGTAGTGTTTTTCTTTTTGCAGCGAAAGTCGAGCAAGGCCAAGGAGAAGAAGCAGAAGCGGTTGGAGGAGCGAGCGGCTATGGATGCTGTCTGTGCCAAAGTGGATGCTGCCAACAGGGTGACTGTCCTTTTCAGTTCCTCCCTCTACTGTAGCTTGGTTTTTATTTGACTTCCTGGCGCCACCCAGTGGCAGATCTACAGCACTGTACATCAGGCCTATGGCCAGACAGTTGGGAGGAGGCCTGTTGCTTCAGTGCTGAGGGACATGTGAAGAGGCTAGGCTACAGGTCTTACTGATGTGGAATTTGGGGAGGTTTTTTTTTTTTTTTTTTTGGCTAATTTGCTTTTTTAGTGAGGAAATCTTATGAGACATGGCACATGGTGTTCTTAAGCCTTCCTTCTTTCAAAGGTTACTGACTACTCATGGGTGCAGTAAGCTCTGCTTTACCTGAGGCTTCAGCTGCCTGGTCCCTGGGGCTGTAGTCAGAGGAGGAGTAGCTGTGAATCAGCTATTGAGGGGAGGGGGCCTGGGAGTTTTTAGGCTGAGCCTAAGGGTTTGGCCTTGATGGTGAGCTTCCTGCCTCATGCTGTATTTCACATTCTTTTTTTCCCTGAGTGTGTGTGTGTGTGTGTGTGTGTGTGTGTGTGTGTGTGTGTGTGTGTGCGTGCGTGTGCGTGCGCATATGAGTGTGGGTGTCCATGGAGCCAGAGGTCTCACACCTTCTCACCAGTGTCTTCCTTCATTTTGTCTACTCTCTTTCTCTTCACAGCTTGGAGACCCCCTGGAGTCATTCCCAGTCTTTAAGAAATACGACCGCAATGGGTGAGTTGTGCTTAGAGTTTCTAATAATTGTCTCCTGAGGGTCCTTGGGTGTTCATTCCTCCAGAATCTTGCATGTTTTAGTCCATTATGAAAAAGCAACAACTAGCGCCTCCTGTCAATGCAGTCTCTCAGTTAAGGTGATGCACGAATTTGTAGATGTGCAGAGATTGTGTGTGTAACTGAAGCCATTTAGGACTTAGGACTTATAATTTTCTCTGTTCAAAGCCCCAGACAGCCAGATGGTGGTAGCGGCAGTGCACGCCTTGAATCCCAGCTCTCGGAGGCAGAGGCAGGCGGATCCATGTTAAGAGTATGTGTTTCCTTGCCGGTTTGGTTCCACCGCCATGCCAGCTCCAAATAACACACAGAGACACTGTATTAGATATAAAGCTGTTGGCCAGTTACTAGTTTCTTATTGGCTAGCTCTATCTTAAATATTAACCCATTTCTATTAATCTAAATATTTCCATATGGTCTCATCTTACCGGGGAGAGGACCCAGACCTCTCTTCTCTCCAGTCTCTACATCTTGACTCCTCCCTATTCTTCCTCTCTCCTCCTTGTCTCCTAGTCCCTCCTATCTTGCTTTCCTATTGGCCAACAGTGCTTTACTCATTAACCAATAAGAGAAACATATTTACAGAATGACATCTCCCATCATCTCCTCTTTTTTGTCTAAATAAAGAGAAGGGTTTTAACCTTAACATAGTAAAGTATATAACAAAACAGTTATCAAATAAGAACCACAGTTAACAATATTTAGTCCATTAACATTTAGTAAGATTTAAAGAAAATATTACATCATCTATCTTTGTGAGTCTAAAGTCCTATATGTTACTTATCTTTAATCCTAACTAAGGAAAACTATAACCATAACTATCTGTCTTCAACTCCATCAAAGACCACAGAAGGATAATATGAACTCTAGAAATGACAGAGACATCTCACTGCCTGGTCAGTCACCCAAAGTTCTTCTGTAATGTTCCATCTTCAGTCTATAGGCCATGTGTCTGTCAGACTCCTCAGCAAAGCAGGAAACTTTAAACTGTCCTCCTGTATTGGCAGTTTGTCAGTCATTTTTCTCTGTGTCCTGCAGACTGTCTGGCAGACTCTTCCATGAAGCAGGATCTCTGTAGCAATGTCCATCTTGAATCAGCTGTCACTTTTCTGTGGGTCCTGCATGTCCAGTTTATACAGCATAAAGTCAAACAGTCCAGACAAGAGCAGTATCTTGCCCAATGCCATATTGGAAGTAAACTCCATAACGAGTTTCTTCGATGTCTATATTCCTTTCTGATGCAGGTGATGTTGCCAGGAGCAGTTATGTCTCACTGTCAGGAAAAACCCTAAACCATTTAAAATGCCATATTCTGTAGGTCTTTTAAAGGTTTGAAGAATGCCTATCCATCTCAAATACATCTTTGTGTATCTTCAAAACCTAAATAACTTAACTCTAAGTTTTGACTACCATAGGTAATTATCTATAATCTGTACTACATTATACATTACATTTCTAAATGAGCTATATAAACACAATAGCTAGACAAGAGGAGAAATATACATATCACAAAATAGACCTTAAATTTGTATCAATAAATGAAAATCCATTTTAAAACAGTGTTCACTTCTATACCATAATCCCCTTTTTACCTTTAAAAAGATTGGTTGTGGTTATTAACCATTTATAGCCAACCCCATATAAGTGAAAACAAACATTTATAAATGATATTTGGGAATTTGGGTGTCGTTCTTTCCAAACTGCTTCCTGCTGGTAGGGGGCACTGTCATGGGAATCCTAAGAAGATGTAGAAATCCTGGCTTTAGTGGTCTGCAAGGCTGCCTTGCCCAAGCTGTTTGAATGTTGGATTCCTAGGACACTGTTTCAGGGGGTCTGGCTTGATCAAACCACGTTAGTCTGGAAGGAATCCACAACTTTTTATTTTCTGTGGAAACAAAAATAGAAATTCTTTTCCCTAGTAACCTGTCCTCAGACTTAAATTTTGGAGTCAAAACATTTTTGAAATATATAAATTGAATTAATCCAACAGCATTTCTTTTAACAGTTGTTATTTCCTCAGCAGTCAAATGATACAAAGGACAATATAATACTGTACAGTATCCCAGTATCCAGATTCTCTTTTCCATTTTTACATGGCTTTTTTTTTTTTTTACTCTATTTCTTCTACTTCTATTTTTTTCATTTTTTTTTTGAGACAGGGTTTCTCTATATAACTTTTATCTGTCCTGGAATTAACTCTGTATACCAGATTTACTTTGAAATCGCAGAGATCTGCTTGCCTCTGTCTCCCGAGTACTGGAATTAAAGACGTGTGCCACCACACCCAGCTACTCTCTGTCTTTTTATTATTCTTTCTTAAACCATTTTATCCTGTTTCTTTTTCTATTCCAAGCCTACATATATTTTTAAAACACACTGTAAACCTTTAGCGGTTTTTCTTATCTGAATCTGTCTTTACTGTAAATTTTTATCTTTTTCTGGCCACGATCTTTTATCTGGTAAACAACAACATTGCTAAAATGAAAGCCACAGCTGTATTAGCAGCAGTCTATCAAAGATGGTGGCGGGTACCATTTTGTTATGAGTAGATTTTTCTTGCCGGCCAGCCCCAAATAACACACAGAAATGCTGTATTAGATATAATGCTGTTGGCCTGATACTAGTGTTTCTTATTGGCTAGCTCTATCTTAAATATTAACCCATTTCTATTAATCTAAGTATTTCCACATGGTCTTATCTTACCGGAGAGAGGACCCGGACCTCTGTTCTCTCCAGTTTCTACATCTTGACTCCTCCCTACTTCTTCCTCTCTCCTAGTCTCCTAGGCCCGCCTATCTTGCTTTCCTGTTATTGGCCAACAGTGCTTTATTCATTAACCAATAAGAGAAACATATTTACAGAATGACATTTCCCATCAGTTCTATGTGAGTTTGAGACCAGCCTGGTCTACAAGTGCTAGTTCCAGGACAGCCTCCAAAGCCACAGAGAAACAAAAATACAAATAAAGAAAAACAAACAAAGAATCAGATAAAGCCAGTTGGTAGTGCATGCCTTTGATCCCAGCACTTGGGAGAGGCGGATCTCTGAGTTTAAGACTAGCCTGGCCTACAGAGCTAGTTCCAGGACAGCCAGAGCTACACAGAGAAACCCTGTCTCGGTTAAAAAAAAAAAAAAAAAGATGATGATGAAACTTAGAAACTTGTTGGCCTACCTACTGTCAAATTTTATGATTGGGAATTTGGGACTCAGAAAGTTTGAATGAGGGTTCTGAGTTTATGGAGAGTATACCTCACATCCGAAGGAGCTTTTGATTCCTTATAAGTATTGATTCCTTATAAGTGTTTTTCCTTGAGTATACACTGTATACTTAGTCTGTTTTGCCTCAGTTTTGTAATCAGAAATGGGTTTTAAAACTTGGTTTGGAGAAGCAAAAAGATCATGCGTTCGAGACTAGCCTGGGCTATATAATAAGACTTTGTCTCAAAGATCAAAAGATGAGGGAGAGAAAGTAGATTGGGGTCTGATGATTTCTCCCTTAGGAGTACAAGGGTTGAGTCCAAAGCTCTGGCCTATGGAGCCTGCTGACGGTAAATGTGGCTGTTGTGACTGCTGTCCCAGCTAATTAATATTCAGGGTTGGGTTGCAAGCCCTTCCCCTCTGTCTTTTTTATACTGCGGTATTTTATACTGTATTGACTTGCTCCAGGAAGGTCAGAGGTAACCTTTTTTCTGTTGTGGTGAAGAGGGGCTGGACTTTTGCATTATGCCCCTGGAACAAGCCTTATGAACCTTAAACCTTGGTTTCATACCTGTCAAATAAGATGATGCTACAAACTTAAGAGGTATACTGACAAGATGAGCAAATACCCAGGTAGAAAGTGGACAAGGAAGAGAGGGATAGCGGTGTAGATTCCAAAGCCCTATGGCTTTTTATAGATTTGTGGCAATCATGGAATCAGTTCATTGATTCTTATATCTTCCCATCTGGGGTCTGACATATGACACTTCCTACAAGCTTTGTTATTCTATTTCTGGGAAGTCATGGTATGGTTTAGGAATCTCTTTTATGATTTTTCTTCGTGTTTTCATGTGCTGTGTTTCTATTGACTTCCAAAAACCTGGACCTGCTCTGAAGCAGTCCACAACAACAGGCTTGACTGCTTTAGTGCCTTGCTTTTCATATGGTCCCTGTAGATGTGACCCTCCTTCAGCATACCCGAGACAGCACTTGAGAAGCTGATGCAGGGGCCCTTTACGTGAGTTTGAAGATTGCATGCTAATTCAAAGCCAGCCTGAGCTTCATGGAGAGACCCTGCCTCATAAAAAGAAAAGAATGCAGATTACTGTAGGCTAGACTTTGGCTAACAGGTGCAGAAACTGGATTTAGATGGTTCTAACATGTTGGTTCTTGTGGAAGGCTCTTCTGAGGAAAGAATTTAAGATCTTGCCAGTCAGCAGAGATGGCTGTGGCATTTGTTAGGAAAATTGTGTCACAGGCTCCTGAGAGATGCTGATGTGAGTGTTCTTAAAGGGTTAATTTTTAGGCAGGGGTCTGTATCATTTTAGTAGTTGGGAGGCTAAACAGAAGGCCCTTGAGTCCAAGGTGAGTAAGGGGTACATAGTGAGGCCCTGTATACTCCCCCCACCAAAAAAAAAAAAAGGCTAGCTGGAGGTGGTGGCACACACCTTTTAATCCTGGTACTCAGGAGTCAGAGGCAGGCGTTTCTGCTTGAGTTTGAGGCCAGCTTGGTCTACATAGTAAGTTCCAGGGTAGTCAGGGCCACTCAGAGAAACCCTGTCTCACAACAGACAAAAAGGCTGATTAGGTGGTTCTGCAGGTAAGTGCTTACCACACAAACCTGATGACCTGAGTTTGATTCCCGGGTAGCTCATGGTACAGGAAGATGACCTATTTACCAAAATTGCCCTGTCTTCTGTATGAGTCTTCTTTCATACATACCACACATACACACACGCCTTTTTTGTATGTGTTTCAAGACAGTCTCACTATATAGCCATGGCTGGCCTGGAACTAGCTTGTTGTGTAGACCAGACTGATTTTGAACTGTCAGAAATCTGAATGTTTCTGCCTCCTGACTAACGGTGTGCTCCACCACACTCAGTATTTGTTTCATTCATTTTCAGTTTTATGTGTGCATATGGATATGTATGCAGGTGTCCTGAGATCAGGTGCATCAGATGGACTCTGGGGTCAGTTATGAGCCATTGGGAGTGACCTGATGTGGGTGCTGAGTGTCAGACTCAGGTTCTGGAAGAGCAGCAATTGTTCTTAACTGTTCCCCAATTTTTTTTTTTTTTCTTCCCTAAAAGCTTGAGTTTTCAGACTAGTTCCTCTTAATTTAGTTGGAAAAAGGGACCTTAATGCCTAGAGCAGTGGTTTACACCCTGTCCTACCTATGTAATAGCTATCAGTCCCCACTCTGTGTCATGAGGAAGATGCAGGTGGGACCGGGCTGGGGGAGGGGTATTGAGCTGTAGTCTTCTAGAAAGGCCAAGTCACCCAGCTGCTTTGAAGAGATAATAGGTAGCTAAGAGAGACCTGGTCTTGTGAGGGGCCAGAGGGAGGAGGGGCAGAGATACAGTTAGCAGGACGAGTGCTTACAAACAGGGAACAGAGTGTCTCTGCTAATTATTAAAGGAGACAGACCCGGCAGTGGTGGCGCACCCCTTTAAACACAGCGCTCAGGAGGCAGAGGCAGGCAGATCTCTGTGAGTTCAAGGCCAGCCTGGTCTACAGAGCAAGTGCCAGGACAGGCTCCAAAGCTACACAGAGAAACCCTGTCTCGAAAAACAAAAAAAAGAAGAAACAAAGAAAGTGGGGAGCCTGAGCAGGTAGGGGAAAGCAGAGGTAGCCAAGAGCAGTTGACAGAGTGACTTTGATTAAGACACTACAGGTAAGGCAGAAAATAGGCCCTGTGGCAGGGTGGTGGCCTTGTGATGACAGTTGTTAATCCTAGGTCTGAAAAATAGCTTTTCCCTGTAGGGTGCCTGAGACTGGCATGCCTCCCTGGCAAACGTTCAGGAAGAAATAGCAGTGTCCTGGTGAGAACACTAGGCCTGATGCCTCCCTGTCCACTCCTCAGGTTGAATGTCTCCATTGAATGTAAGCGAGTGTCTGGATTGGAGCCAGCCACTGTGGATTGGGCCTTTGACCTCACCAAAACCAATATGCAGACCATGTAAGCATGCCCGACCAAGGGCAGCCCTGCACCCCTGTGATTTTTTTCCAAGGTCCCCCGTCCTGATTGCCACAACTCCTCAGGTATGAGCAAAGTGAGTGGGGCTGGAAGGACCGAGAGAAACGGGAGGAAATGACTGATGACCGAGCCTGGTACCTCATTGCTTGGGAAAACAGTTCCATCCCAGTTGCCTTTTCTCACTTCCGGTTTGATGTGGAGTGCGGGGATGAAGTCCTGTACTGGTAGGAACTGAGGTTTAACGTGGGTAGAGGGGGAGGAGACCAAGTGGCAGAGCCCATTGAGCCTCGCTGGGTCTGAGGCTGCAGGCTCCTGCGGACCTGGACCCCCTCTATGGCACTGTCCTATGCACTCACTCCTCTGCTTTCTTTGTTAGCTATGAAGTTCAGTTGGAAAGCAAGGTACGGCGGAAAGGCCTAGGGAAGTTCCTCATTCAGATCCTGCAGCTCATGGCCAACAGGTAAGAGCTGCTGCACTGAAGAGGCCACTGATCTTGGGCTTTCTCAGAGGAAAAAGGCTCTAGACCCTGTCAGAAAGCTGACCCTGCTTTGCTGTGGCTCCTGGTTAGAGGACAAACGGGCAGATCCCTAACACTGAGGCACTCTGCAGGGGTGGGAGGGGCACAGTGCCAGGGTGCCCAAGACCTCTGCAGGTAGGAGGAGAGCCTGAAGGACTCTTTGTGTTTTGTTAATGTTGTTGTTTGAGACAAGGTTTCTCTGTGTAGCCCTGGCTGTCCTGGAACTTACTCTGTAGACCAGGCTGTTCTGGGACTCCTAGAGATCCATCTGCCCCTGCCTTCCAAGTATTGGAATTAAAGGTGTGCACCACAAACGCTGACTCTCAACTTGTTTTTTGTGTGGGTGCTTTTCCTGTGTGTATTTATATGCACCATGTTTGCTTGGTACCTTTGAAGGCCCGAAGAGGGTGCCAGATTCCTTGGAACTAGGGTTACAGATGGCTGTACATTACCGTGTCAGGGCTAAAGATTAAACCCCAGGTCCTCTGCAAGAGCAACCAGCGTTCCTAACCCCTGAGACATTTCTCCAAACCTTGTAGTTTTTTGTTTTTTAAAGCTATGTCTTGGGCTGGGCAGTGGTGGTTTACACCTTTAACCCCAGCACTCAGAAGTGTTCTTCACACTGAACCATCTCTCTAGCCCCTTGATTCTGTTTCTGGAAGGTGCTCACTCTGCTCTCTTCTAGCACACAGATGAAGAAGGTGATGCTAACTGTATTTAAACACAATCATGGCGCCTATCAGTTCTTCCGAGAGGCACTACAGTAAGGAGCAAGGCCCTGGTGTGATCCTTCTGGGTGGTTAGGGCACTTCCTCTGCTGGTTCCCAGGTACCTGCTTGTTTTCACCCTAATCCAGTCAGTGGTCCACAGTGATTGGGGTTTGTGAGATGGTGTGCCAGTGCCCTCTGACTTGGTTCCTGTCCCTCAATCCAGAGGTGTCAGAACTGCTACAGAAGCTCTCAGCTAAGGAGCAAAGTCAGCAGTCAACCCTTTCTCCTGTCTGTCTTGCAGGTTTGAAATTGATGACTCCTCCCCCAGCATGTCTGGTTGCTGTGGGGAGGACTGCTCCTACGAGATCCTGAGCCGAAGGACCAAGTTTGGGGATAGTCAGCATTCCCACACAGGCGGGCACTGTGGTGGCTGTTGCCACTGAACTCCCAGAGCCATTTGCAAGTGAAGTCACTCTCCTTAGGCCTGTCCTCTTCCCTGGTCTTAAGCCACTTGCCAGGTACCCAGAGCTGTGGGTGCCTTAGCCCTGCATGGGCCAGGCATACCCTGAGAACACAGAGCCCTAGGGAGCAGTGAACCCAGCTGCCTTTCCACCCCTCCTGGAAAAGCAGAGTGCCGGGAGGGAACACAAGGAGAGCAGGCTGTGAGAAGGATCCTTGTGCAGTGGCTGCCTCCTTGCTTAGCTCTTGGGCTCCTAAAATGGAAGGTGGGCCCCTTGTCTGCAGCTGGATTTCTGACAGGGCCCCACACCATGCCCCATATGGACAAATGGAATGTTTATACCCACCTTTGTGAAAACACCTGGAGTCTGCTGGTCCCCAGAAAGATTGGATGCAGATATGGGCACACAACAACCCTTGGACCAAGTGCTCTTTCGAAGACCATGTAGATTTTTGATGCCAGGATGCAGGGATTTATGCCGTGTTCTTGTAGATCTACAGTGTGGAGTCTTGGGACCAGCCACCTTCAGGAGGGAGACTGTCTCCATCACGGTCAGTAAGGCAGAGAAGACCGGGAGAGCCGACAGTCTCTTATATGTTTGCCGCAGGGATGCAGCGTCTCTGGGCATTTGGATTTTGCTGCATTTCTCATGATCTTGACTCAGCCTTTTTACTCAAGAAGGAAACCACAGTCCTGCCTGTTGTCACACCTCTCGCACTTCAGCTCAGATACCTCTGTTCTTAGTCCCAAGGGGAATAACGTCAGGGAGCCCCTCTTCTTTCCAGAAGGACCCCTCCTTCTTGGTATAGTTGATACCATTTCATCCTACTCTTGGTGCTGATAGCTCTCTGCAAGTGGGTCAACCCGCTCCCCCTCCCTGCCTGAGGGGCCCCAGCCAGCAGCAGGCCCCTTTGCCTGTTCTCCCCAGCCCCATCCCTCACTGCCTCCATGAGGCACTTGAGCCACTCTCCTGGCCCCACTGGGATACATCAGGGATGCCTTTCAGTGGCTCACCGCTGCTTTTCTGTCACTGGTGTCACCCTGCAGTGGCTGCCTTCAGAGGATGAAGCGAGTGCAGCCTTAGAGCTTGAACTCATCCTGACCTGGGCCATGTTCTTCCAAGGAAGCAAAACCAAACCCTCACTTGCCACTTCTCCATTGCCATCCCTGAGTTCTGCCTTGAGGCATGGCAAAGAACTTGCCTTTGTGTGGTTGCTTTCTGAGACTTCCTGACCTCAGTGTGCTCACCTCACCCCCTGCCTGACTCTGGCTGTCTGTCCTTGTAAGTCTCCCCGGAGCAGTCACCTCCCACTCAGATCCTTGCTTGCATGATAGCCTGGACATGAGGGTCCTTTCTTGTCAGGATCTGTCCTCTGTGGAGCACCCTGTGCTATCCTTAGCCCTGTTGGCTGTGCCTCGGAGAGGGTCTTGCAGCTTTACACTGGAATAGGTCTACCTATGCCTGGCCTACTAGCTATAGCTCACCAGGCTATACCCCTGGTGAGAGTTGAAGCTGCCCAGAAGGGATTGGTAGACTCCTTCCAAGAATCATGAAACAGGAACATGCTTGGAAGAGTTACTCCCTGATCCTTGTCTGTCTTAGATCATGAATTTCTGATACCTCCCTCTTAGGGGACCAAAAGGAACCCCAAGCATAACCCCATGTGAGGTGAATTGAGTGTCTTGTCTCCAGTCACTGGACACCTGGCACCAGGGCTGTCATGGTGCTCAGTGCCTGCCCTGCTCACCCTCTGCAGGCCACATCCCCAAGGGCCCTTCAGGACCTCTCACCGGACCAGAGGGATGGTGGCCAAGACCATCTCCTGTGGGTGTTGAGCCCAATGGTTTATCAGGCATACATCATCTTCCATCCTCATGATTTTAAGAAACAAGGTCTAGCCGCCTATACCAGGCTCTTTTGTTTTTTGTTCAGGATGTGTTAAAATGTTTTTAAAGGTTTTTGTTGTTGTTGTTTTAGTGAACTTAATCCCATTTCAGGTTATTTTTGTTGTTGTTAAATGTGTATGGTTCTTTTTTAAACTTTCAGGGTGGGGTTGCTCTTTTTTTTTTTTTTTTTTTTGGTTGGTTTTTGGTTTTTTTTTTTTTTTTTTTAGTTTTTTTTTTTAGTTTTTTTCTTTTAGAGGAAAGTTGGAAGATAAATTTTTTGTTTTGTATATTTTTTTCCTAGCAACTTGTTATCACTGGAACCAAAGGGGGAAAGCATCTCTCTTTGTGTCAGTATAATTTGTATGTCATTAATAAAAGACACTTTGTTCAGGTGCTGGCATGGTGTCCAGATGCTGGGTGCCATGGGCAGTGGGTGTCAGGCATTGGTTTTGGGAGACACATGGCTGTGCTGGCCCCACGCCCTTCCTGAAAAGGAAGCCTTGGATAAGTGGAACCCAAGTATATGTACCATTTCCCAGAAGTGGGGTGAAGTCAAGGATGTTCAGAATACTGTCTGCTTGGCATCCTGGAGCAGGCCCTGAGCCAGGCACTGTGACTTTGGGCATCAAGACATGAATTCAGTCCTTTGAGTTGAAGGATGAATTTTGTCCCTGTGTTTACTGAGATGCTCAAGAGTATTCCTCATCAAAAAGTCTTCAACAAAGACTCTGTGAAGTCTCTCCTCAGAGAAAAAGGCCCAAAGGAAGGGTAAGCCCTGTCAAACCTTTGGCATAACTGGTAGGGTTACACAGCTTGTCCCCTAGACTGGGCTTCTGCCGTGCACAGGCTCAGAGGCAGGAAGTTGTGTGGGAACTGGAGCTCAGAACTTGCTTTCTGAACTCCAGTATGGAACCATCTTTCCATACTCTTGGTCAGGTGTGGTAGATGAAAGACAGGCCGGGCGGTGGTGGAGCACGCCTTTAATCCCAGCACTCAGGAGACAGAGGCAGGCAGATCTCTGTGAGTTCAACAACAGCCTCGTCTACAAGAGCTAGTTCCAGGCCAGCCTCCAAAGCCACAAAGAAACTCTGTCTCAAAAAAAAAAAAAAAAAAGAAAGAAAGAAAGAAAGAAAGACAAGTCTCTGGAGTCCACACTTAAGGGCCCAGAGGATGCTTGGATACACGTGGTCACACAGGGGAAGGGTGTAGGGGTGGGGTCCGGTTCACAATGAAGAGAGCTGTAGAGCTGTAGTGGCAGCCCTGTGGTTGCTCTCTGAGCTTGCATCACTGTTGCAAGCCTGAAGGAGTTAACCGTCGGTCCTCAGGATGCCAGGACAGATAGCTGTGCCTGTGTAGGGGCAGAAGCAAACCCTGTTGGCCATCCTGCACTGACAACTCATTGCTACACCCAATAGCTGTGTCCAGCTACTTCACCCAGTAACAGCTGTACGCCAGAAAAAGCAGGCATACCTGCAGGACTCTGAATCTCAGCCTCGTCCCTCCTCCCAGTCTGCCTGCTTAGGTTCCTAGACCAGCTCTTTTTAACAGTGAGCCAAACCTTGTCCTCTGCCTTCTGGATTTTGCCAGGATATTATTTTGTCCCATATTGGGTATATCCTGAGTGTCTACTGTCATCACCTAGGAAGTCAGCTTCCTGTGGAGGCCCAGCTACCCTCACTGAGAGCCAGAGTAGGCTTCTAAAGACCAGTCCAGGTCCTTCCTGCCAGCCCTAAGGCTCAGTGTCTATCTTTTAACATGCCGAGAGAACAGGCTAAGAGAAGACTAGAGGGCAAGAGTTGAATTGCTTAGCTCCAGGTCAGATGCTTTGGGAGGTGACTGAGGGCAGGAACAGCAAAGACACTTTTTTTTCTTCCATGACATTGGCCTCTGCATCTGCTGGGCCCAAGCCTCTTATAAACTGGAGTAAAGGACACCTCTTGTCTCTCCAGACTGTATAGTGCTATCTTGGGCCAGCTGAAATGGCCCCTAGTCAGTCTGGTCAATGTCCATCAGACATGGAGGGCAGTAGTGTAAAGTGGATGTTAGAGCTAGGGACCAGCTCTCCTGCCCATCCTCAAGGCCTGGCATCTCTTCCTAGTGTCCTCTATAGGGAAGGGGGAGTGACAGAAACAGCTTTGGCCCTTGAACCAGAGGCAGGGTCTCAGTTGGGCCTTTTAACCCTTAGCACAGTGTACAAGGGCCCAACAGTCAGCTTGAGGACAGACAGGTAAGGAATGGTGCTCCTTATTCCTGCATGCAGCTCAAATTGCCCAGAGTACTGCAGGGTATGGTGGTTTAAACCAGAATGTCCCCCATAGACTGAGAAGTTTGAATACTTGATTCCCAGTTGGAGGTGCTGTTTGGGTCCATTTAGGAGGTGTGGCCTTGCTGGAGGAATTGTGTCATGGGCAAGCTTTGAGTTTTCAAAGCCAGGTGCCATTTCCACTTTTGGCTCTCTTTGTGCTTGGGGGTCAAGATGGGATCTCTTGGCTTCTTGCACTACCCACCATGCCTGCTGCCTTCTGCCTCTATTCCACCATCATGACCTGTTTGTTTTGATTTTCAAGACAAGAGTTTCTCTATGTAACAATCCTGACTGTCCTGGAACTAGCTTTGTAGATCAGGCTGGCCTTGAACTCACTGAGACCTGCTTCTGCCTCCCAAGTTCTGAGATTAAAGGCATGCACCACCACCACCTGGCCCATCATGGCTTTTAACTGTCTGGAACAGTAAACCAAAATAAACTCAATCTTAAGTTACCTTGGTCATGGTGTTTTAGCACAGCTGGAAAAGTAATTAATACAGAGGGATCTTTATAGCTGGACATGGTTCTTGCCTGCAATCCCAGCACTCAGAGAGGTTGAACAGGAAGACTACCACAAGTCTGAGACCAGCCTCAGTTCCAGGCCATTCAGGACTGCAAGAGTGAGATCCTATATCAAACAATGACAAAGCCTGCTTTGTGTATTCCTGTCACCCATCCACTTGAGTGGTAGAGGCAAAAGGATTACTGTAAAGTGGATGCCTGCTTAGTTCACATAGCAAATAGCAGACCAGCCAGGTCCACCTGTCTCAAAAACAAATTCTTAAAAACAGACAAAAAAACATATAAAAACAGCAGCCAAGCATGGCAGCACATGCTTTTAATCCCAGGGAGGCAGAGACAGTTGCATCTCTGAGTTCAAGGCCAGCCTGATCTACAAAGCAAGTTCCAGGACACCTAGGGCTGTTACACAGAGAAACTCTTACCTTGAAAAACAAAACAAGGGCTGGAGAGATGGCTCAGAGTTGAAGAACACTGCCTGCTCTTCCAGAGGTCCTGAGTTCAATTCTCAGCAACAACATGGTGGCTCACAACCATCTGTAATGAGATCCGGTGCCCCCTTCTGGCCTGCAGGGATGAGGATACATGCAAACAGAACACTGTATACATAATAAAAAAGAAAACAAAACTAAAAACCTAAAGAGGGATACCCATCCAAAGTCCTTATTTGGTTGGAGACTTAACACATAGTCAAGGGTGACCTTAAATTTCTGATTCTCCAGATTCTGCCTTCCAAGTGCTGTGATTACAGGAGTGGGCCACCAATCCAGGTTTATATAGTGCTGGGGAACAGAATCCAGGGCCTTTGTGCATGCTATGCAGTTTGTACTGACTTGAGCAAAAGCTCCAGCTCCTTGTCTTCAATCAGTGGTAAAATTACATGTATACTCATGATTGTTATCGTTATTTGGTACAGGTTCTTTCTAGTCTAGAACTCACTCTGTAGACCAGGCTGGCCTCAAACTCGAGATCTACCTGCCTCTGCCTTCTAAGTACTGGGACTAAAAGTGTGTACCACTACACTAGGCAAAGCTTTATTCATTCATTTATTTGGTTGCTTGGTTGGTTAGTTTTTAAGACAGGTTTTCTCTGTGTAGCTTTGGAGCCTGTCCTGGGACTTGCTCTGTAGACCAGGCTGGCCTTGAACTCACAGTGCTGAAACTAAACGCATGCACCACTGCCCAGCAAGGTTATTTTTAACTCCCATTTTGAGATAAACTTATCCTGGAATTATGTGTGTACTGCCTACCTTTTTATGTGGGTGCTAGGAATCTGAACTCAGATCCTCACATTTAACTACTGAGCCATCTCCCTAATCCTCATTCATTTTTAGGTAGGGGTCAATTTTGTTACATAGCCAAATTTTTCCTGGAACCTGAAGCTGAAGCAGTCTTTCTGGTTTGGTCTCATTTGCAAGGACTATGCCTTGGAGTCTGTGCTTTTATGCTTGGCTTTTTCTTCCATACAATGTTCATGAGACCCATTTGTGCTTTTGAGCACTATATAGTCTTTCATCTGGTTTGGAACTCACTATGTAGACTAGGCTGGCCTCTTGCTCATAGAGATCCAACTGCCTCTGCCTCCTGTGTGCTGGGATTAAAGGTCTGTATTATTGTGCCTGTCTTTTTTTTTTTTTTAAGTCTTCATGTATGTGAGTGTTTTGTCTACATGTATATCTATGCACAGTGTGCATGTAGTCCTCACAGAAGCCAGAAGAGGCCATCGGACTCTCTGGAACTGGAGTTAGAGACAGTTGTGAACTGTCATGTGGGAGCTGAGAATTGAACCTGGGTCCTCTGGGGGAGCAGCCAGTGCTCTTAGCCACTGAGAACTCTGTCTTAGTTAGGGGTTCTTTTGCTGTGAAGAGACAAAATGTCCATGGCAACTCTTATAAAGTTTAGTCTACTATCATCAGGCGGGAACATGATGGCCTGCCGGCAGAAGCACTGGAGGAGCTGAGAGTCCTACATTTTGCAGGCAACAGGAAGTCAACTGAGGCCCTGGAGAGTATCCTGAGCATAGGAAACCTCAGAGCTTGCCCCCACAGTGACACACTTCCTCCAAGGAGATGATGGGAGAGGTCATTCTGTATGTTTCTCATACTGGTTAATAATAAAGCACTGTTGGCCAATAGGAAAGGAAGATAGGAGGGACTAGGAGACAAGGAGGAAATAGGAAGTAGGAAGGAGGAGTCAAGATGGAGAGTCAGAAGAGAGCTGGACGCCAGCCGCCTCCCCGGTAAGAGAAGGCCATGTGAAAATACATAGATCAGCAGAAATGGGTTAATAATTAAGGCAGAGCTACCCGATAAGAAACAAGTAACCGGGCCAACAGCATTGTACCAAAAAAAAAAAAAAAAAAAA